CACAATGTTTTGTATTCATAACACTAAGTGTGCTAAAAGCAGGATTAAAAAAATATCACTAATAGAATTCAAACTGCAAATATGCCAACTTCAGTGTGCACATAGAAGTTTCCAAATCAGTTTGAAATATCCTTCAAAATTTCAAAAGATCCTGGGTGAAATGGAAAGAAAAGAATTTTTAAAAATATAAGCAGCATCTATTGCTATAATATTGCAAGACCCGGTTATAGGTATTTTGACTGCCATGCCAACAAAAAGGATTACAGTAATCAAGGTAAATACATCCTTTCTTCCCATCCTGCATATAGTACATTGTCCATGCTGTTTACAGTCTGCCATTTCAGCTTAGAAGCATGCATGAGTTTTTGTATAGCTAATCACAGCTACTAAAATGTAAAATGTTAGTGAGTTATATTAGGGATGTAGTTTGCATTGGTCAGTCAAAATGAGTCATATGCCAGATAGAGGCAAGCCTAGATACAGATGGGTGGAACTGTGATGTGGCACATATTTGGCAGAAGCAAGGCACTGTTAACCTCTCCCAGAGCCAGATCTATGACATTCAAAGAGCATAAGCAGATATGGAGTATGCATTTGCAGTATTAGTGCAAGTGCCACTACAAAGCCATTAGAGCCTATGAAGTGAATAATGCTTATTTTCAAAATTTATCAAGAGCTGCAATTTGCAAATCACTTGCTCCCTGCTGATGGCAGGCAGTGAAGGGAAGTCCAATTATTTTCCAGGGCTGCGATTCATCTTTGATTTTTATCTCTTAATTTGGCGAACAATCCAAATGACCTGCCAAACAACATGCTCTATTTTCCATAGTATCTGTTTAAAGGACAAGCAGACCCATTTTCCAACTAGATATTCTGGAGAGATTACTGTTTTTCCCCCCTCCAGTGATGCAGTTATGCTTCTTGAATTTGATTATTTTATTTAATTTTGCCCCTGTCACCTGGAATCAGAATGAGAACATGCTTCAAACTATCTGGTAAGTATTAAACCACAACTGCATGATTTCCTTCTTTTTTTCCTCCCAGGCTGTGAAGGGCTAGATCACGTTAGGAATAAATTAAATCCCTGCAGCGCAGGAAGTTTCTTTAATGTAATTTTTCTTTCTGCTAGGAAAACAGAATAAGCACTACAGCTATTTAAAGGATAGTATCACATGAAAACTCCCTGCTCCAAGTTTTAGCTAGCAATTTGCAAAACAGACTCCAAGAAGAAATCTCAGACTTCATCAAGCAACCAAGCCCTTGCCACTCCTTTATTTATTCAGGACTCTGTGTTGCTGCATCAGTGATCTAATGAAATAAATATACCCCCTTAAATGTGTATCACTTACATGTCCTGTAGAGCATCATCCATAGGTTTCACAATGTTTTTGTTTCGTCCGAAATATGTAAAACACACGGCTGAAAAAGTTGCCACCCAGCTTTGATGAACAAAGGTCACTAAGTTAATAAAGTGAAAGTAAAATAAGCAGGAGCCACGTATGGTTTTGTGTGACCAGCAGAGGCCTCTCTTGTGTGCTGAGATGAGAAAATGCCAGTGGAGGAAATTACTTCAAGGGGAGAAGTCAATCAGAGTTTTGTCATTGATTTTAACAGGCTCACAATAAGAAAGCAAGGATCCCAGGATCCTTTATATTGGGAGTACTTGGGACTGTATTTTATACGGATCATGCCATTCCTATTATGATCTTTCTTCACTGTTCATTTACAAGAGATGAGCCAAAATAAAATCTTGATCCAAACATATCCAGATTCTAAAGTTTCGTTTCAGATTCAAATTTGTTCCTGGTATATTTCTCAATTAAAAGCAAACCCAGCTCCGAGGTGAACACTTCAGACTTGGGAAAGGCTGCATTTGGACCTTAAATCTGTCATCAACAATCCTTCCATTCAAGGATGGTCCCTACCACAGTTCATTGATGGGGCTTGAGGTGATTTAAGAGTCCAATCCTTGAGCCACAGATCCCTCTACAGAAGTTGCAGATCTTTCCTCAGGGGGAAGTAGGAGTCCCCTTAACTCTGCACCAATCTCTGTTTTGGAGCCATGTATTATTATATATGCCAGTGATATAAAGTGCGCTGGTTCTGCCAAACTTGCCAAACAGCAATATTTTCCCTCGTGATTCAACTTTACCCGACTATCATTCTGCTTTAGTGTATCAGTGGGGGAAAACTAGGCAACATCTTGTTCTGATCATACTGATAGATGTAAAAACCTTAACAGCTTGCTTGTTGTAGTTCCCAAGTGGTCATTTCTAGGGCTCCCTGGTTGCATAAAGTGGTTAGGGACCAGTCCTTCAGATATACCCACAGATATACCCTTAACAAATTTACTTGTCCTTCCTGGTCTGAGCTAGTTTACCCTCTTTTATTCTTGCTCCTCCAGGCCTGGCACTGGCTACAGGGGTAGCAGGACCATTCAAGAGATCTTCTTTTGCCTGTTCCGTATCAGGGAAAAGCCCCTCTGCTCAACCTGTGAATCATAAAACAGCCTGATAAACAGGGGCTCTTGTCATATTGTTTATTTACTATATACAGAATAATGGACAGCCATGCGCACATATGTTGTCAGAGTGTGAAAATATACTTCTTAAAAGTGACTAAATTCATGGAAAATACTGATAAAAATACACAGTCCCCAAAATTAACTGACCAAATGTTAATCCAATGATTGAAATCCCTCCCCCACAAAATAGAAACCCCACTCAAACCACCATCCTAAAAGCTCCTCTGACAAAACAGTGAACAAATAAATGAGACCAGCTGAGAGTCCCAAAGGGCGCACACACAGACTCAGCTGGATCAACAGAGAGAGCAAGGGCTTTTCATCTCTGTCTTCTTGTTTGGAAATACTTGGCCCATTATTGTGGGTGCCACTGCTGGTCTCCACAATCACGGAAAGCCAAAGAGAGATGAAGACCCAAGCCACAAATGGGCTTTAGAAATTAAAATCAGTTTCTGGAAATGGATTGGAACCCATTGCAGACTGGTGCTCAGAAGCATGCACCATGCTTTCTGAAGGAATCACCAAGCAAGGCACCAATCCCACAAATACTTGTCCATGTCTGGGCTTAAGGCTTTGCAGCTTCAATGGACAGACACATTCTGGTTCAAATTAATTTTGAGGGCTCAATTCTGCACTGTGTTACACAAGATTGATATTGGTGCAATTTCTTTAATGCAAGGTATACACTGGTATAAAGCAGTGGAGAAGCAGGCTGGTGCAGCTGTCTAGGTAAGGAGCATCACTGAAATCCCATCAGCTCCCTCCTGTTCCAGTCAACAAGTGACATTAGGAACGACCCCAGTCAGTGAAATAATGATACAAGGACTTACAGGTTCTATAAATCATGTCTCCTCCCACCAGGACTTTAAGAAAAGAATAACATGATTGGGAACAAAATAAGCAGGCAGGTAAGTGGCATGGACTAAGAGAGGACAGGATTTGGCAAACCAGAGTTTGCACAGAACTGTTGCTGTTGCACAAGGAATAATTCTGAAAGAATCTGACCTTAAATATAGAAAGCCCTGTGGTAAGAAACCATGCGGAAACAGCCCCAGGTCCTTTTTCATTCCCAACTCACATTTCCACCTATGTCTGCCACTTCCCTTCCTTTCTGGAGTCCTCAAGCTTACTACCCCGTTCCTGCTGATCCTTCCTTCCCTGAAGCCAGCTTGTTCCTTTTTTCCAGAGCCTTGGGGCATTGTTGCTGCTCACAGGATTCACACTCCCTGCAACCTGAGCTCCCCCTAGCCCCCTTTAGCTACTCCTTTTGCTCCAGAATGGCTCTGATCCTGGCCCTTCCCTGATTTTCTTCTCGTTTCTCACTGCTCTAAGGAGGACAGAGACAGGTGGTATAGCAAAATAAAAGCATGTAACATGTTCACTTCTTTCCATAGAGTCGCATGTGCTAATAGAAACGTATGAAATAAGAATTAATTGAAAGCACATAACAATGTTGAATTTAATAAAATATCTTGGAGAAACCTGACCTTATTCCTTGTCAGTCACTGCTTTTGGGTCTCTTCTGTGGAGTGACTGGCTGGAAGTCTGGGTCATCTCCTTTGAAGATTATCTTTTTTTCTTTGGGTTGCTATACATACATGAATAGCAGAAATCAGGTGAGCTAAAATGGGCCATGAGTTAAATTCAGACAAGCTTTAATAATTTCTCTTGGACTCTACATATAATTGGATTTCTGGTCTCATTTCCCAATGTACCCCCTCCCCCCCACTTCCCGCCCCACAACATCCTGATATAAAACATCTCTTAGCCCTCCTATACCTGTAAAATAAACTCCTAACCATGATCCTGTTGTTCTCTAAAAACAATCTTCTGAGGTACCGTTCCATTGAGGTGAAGGAGGAGAGTCCTGATTTCTTTTATAGCTATTGCCTAAGAATCCCTATCCCTCACCATAACATTGTTTGTACTCTTCTCATGTTCAGAAGAATTTCTTTGCAACCATAAACTATATATCCTCCAAGCCCAGAGGAAGGTAATCCCCAGGAGGGTC